CCTCCAGGGTCCCCCCTTTTGGGAACAGCTCCAAACCCTTTTGGGGGTTTTTTTTTTGGGCTTTGGGGGGGGGGGGGGGGTGTACTCATAGTCGTGCATGCCGTAGTCGTTAGACCATTGACCTCGCATCCCTACAAAGCCGGGACGGAGCACGCCGGGTTCTCACCGGACCAGGCTCTCACATCACCAAGCGCGAAGCGCCGTCAGGTATTCGGCGAGTCGCATGAAGGGTGAGCTGCATCCTGCTAAGGGTGTTCGGCATCTTGTGCTTACTTCCTTGCGTACGGATGACAGCTACGTATGACTTAATTTATTTTCTGGTGCTTTCACTTCCAGAGACAGTTGTAAGCACTGTGTAACTGCCTCGAGGAAGCTTGACCATTTTAACACAACGTGGTGCGATCATCCACCTTTGCGCGGAGTGAGGTTTCTCGACCCCGCACAACATGATCTACTCGACCACCATTATGGTTACCGCCAAAAAAAAAAAACGAGGTAAAAAAAAAAAAACGGTAACCTGGTTGCCGAGTTCACGAAGTGAATTGGCTTGTTTTACAACGTCGTTGCCAAGCGACGAAAACCCAACCCCGATGGCAAACACCGAGTGGGGGGCTTGTTTTACAACGTCGTTGCCAAGCGACGAAAACCCAAACCCCGATCGCAAACACCGGGGGGCGGGGGGGGGGGGCACGAAAAGGGAACAAGGAACAACTCGACAAACCCGTGAATCCCGCCTTTTTGCGGGTGCTGAAAAGGCTATTGCGTGAACGCGAGAAAAAACATGGGTGAGAAAACTTCCTCATGGAGTTGGACATGTATCGGAGGGGAGAGAGCTTCTCGCTCGAGAAAGCCGATTCCTGTGGAAGGTGGGTACTGCAGGACGTGCTGCAAGAGTCGGGAAATGAAAACAGCGCGGGGCCACTGCCCGAAAATTGCATTGGCAGGGAGGCAACTGACGCCAGATTGACTTGAGGGAGGGGCAAAAAAACAGAGCTACAGATTGATTCTTCTTATGCTACCTCCCCTTCCTCGCCTGTATCTGTTGTAGAATCACTGCCTCTTCTTGTGGCACAATAGGGCCTTCGCACATTTTGTTGAGGCTATGTAGGAGGTTTGTCTAAAGCGCGCGCCGAAAACACACAGGGGAAAACCAAGGCCAACAAGCCAAAACGTGGTGCTCGCAGATACCACAAGTTGCTGCTCGTCAAGAACGGCAAGGGCGAGCGTAAGAAAACTGTGCGCCCCCCCTCTTTTTCTTTCTTTTCTCTCTCTCTCTCTCTCTCTGTGTTGGTTCTCACTGGCTCTCTCTCCCTCTCCATCGCTTGCACTCTCCCCCCCCCGAGAAACGTGAGCAGCAACTTTAACTCACCGTCCCCCTCGTAGAAGGCGTTTTCTATCTCGATGAGGTCGTCCGCCGCCTCCCCATCGTTGTCGCTGCCATAGTCGTACTCCTCGCCATCCTCATAGTCGTACTCGTACTCTGGGAAACAGAAAAACAAAACAGCCACGGGCGCAGAGCAACGGCGACAGCGTCCAGCGAGCAACAGCGTCCAGCGGGTACCGTTACGCGCAACGCACCCGAAGTTGTAGCGGCAGAGCGAGCAATGAACTGAACACAGATCTGGCCAATACACACGATGTTTGGGGTGTCGGCGCGTGTACTGCGTCATCACTCTCGCGGGCTCTCGTCGAGAGTGTTTCGCACAAAGGAGTGACTCAAGTTCCTTGAATATAATAAAGAGAGAGAGAGAGAGAGAGAGAGAGAGAGAGAGAGAGAGAGAGAGAGAGAAAGATAAAGAGGAGTGAGACATGGGCAGGCAAGCAGAGCCCCCCGGAGATCTCGGAGGTTCGTATCCTGCCAAGTACACTCTGGGGTTTTGATGGGCAAGCTTCGGCAGCAGCTGGGTATACCTCCCCCCCGTCCTCTAGGTGGTATCTACCGTACGGAAAACACCGCAGTGAAACACTCCACCAGGTACATAATACAGTACAATCACGAGCACACACCAAAGGGTCCCGATAACTAAACGAAACCAAATTAATGAGAACCGCGGAATCGTTTTAAACCTGAACTGGTCGAGCGGAGAGGAGATCACTGACCACGAACGTAGTCGACTGTCCAATATGCCAGCAAGCACGCACATAGCCTGCCGGATCAACCAGCCAGTGGGATGAATGTCCACCAATATTCTATGAGCCGAAGATGATGAAACAGGCCTTACGAACGATGGGTTCCCAACAAGTTTGAGCTCGGCAAGATGTGGCAGTGAAACGTGTCATGGACCGCCAGACGGACTCCTTCCCCCGACCACAAAGCATCAACAACCGGGGGCACGCGATATTGTAGGCTCAAATGCAAGCGGCGGCTGCAAAACAAGACGCGGCAGGTGCAGCATAATATACAGTAGCTGGCCCTCGTGGCTGGTGATGCGCCGCTGTGCGCTACGCTCTCGAGGAGAGCGTACAGCAGTGTAGCAAGTTCACCAGCGAAGTTGGGTCCTGCTGTGAATATCTGCTGTACTCTCTCTAATTCGAGCCTTCGTACAGCAGTATTATAAATAGTACGTCTCGGTGCCTCGAACACAGGTCACCGCTGCTGCTGTGCTGCTGTGTGCAAGGCGGTCGTTTGTGCCTTCCCGCGCGTTTCAAGAGGGACTGGACGGTTGCATTCCTCAACGGCGAAATACCCTCGCCATTCCATTCACCATAGGTTGCATGGACCGCCCCTACCGCACACACGGCTACTGCAACACTCGCGGTACACACACTGCCAGAGGAATCATGAAGACGGAGAGAGACAGCCGAGGGGGCACAACAATAGAGACTTAAGGATTGCGCAAAAAAAAACTTGGTGGTACTTCCATTCCAGCAGCCGTCGAGTTCACCCTATCAGGGCGCAGAAAGCAACCAGGCCTTACCTTCCCCGTCAGACATATCTCGGCCTCCACACGCGCTTGCCGCAAGATACCAGCAGTCGCCCGAGCGAGTGCTGATGAGTGTGCAACCCAGCTTGAACACAACAGAAGCAGGGGAAACGCACCAAAGGTGCAGGGGGGACGTCCTGTTTCTTCGATTCACGGAGCACCGTGATCTCCGGAGATGCGGATGGATCTCGGCGGACTGGCTGTTTGTGCTTTCGCGCCTGCCTTCCGCGCCGAGGGCAAGCACGCAAGCCGTTCTATTGGGTTGGTTCGTTGGAAAGTCTCAAGGAGGCGCCTTCTGCATGCATGAAATGTACATATAATGAACCAGCAACACCGCGAGAGGAAGAATCTTGACTATTTCGCTGGGATTCGTCCTGCGGGATGGTTTGCGTGCGGCGTCGAAATCATCTCCTGCTGCTGCTCCGGTTTCGTTCAGCATGCTTGCTTGATGACAGGAACTCCACACCCCTGGAGAAGCATGTCCTATTAAAGTCTTCGGGGAACACGAGTGCAAATTGAACATCGGTACTGGTTCTTGCTGTTTTTGTTTGTCAAGAAGATGCGGGAGGTGAATAACCGTGTGTTGACGGCTCCCTCTCTCTCTGCATGTGTCGGTACTGGAGGACAGCAGTCTAATTGCACGGTACTGGAGGACAGCAGTCTAATTGCAACTTGATGTGTGGTAGTGTCTCCAAGGCTACGCTACACATAAAAAAATTCAGCTTGTAGTGTGAAACTTCGCAAGGTTACCACGAATTGTCTACGCGGTAACTGGCATATCGACCTACTTTTTTGCCATTCGCAACCGGTGGCCAGGTTGGACACCAAGTAAGTACAACCGGGGGGGAGGTTGGGAGGCCCCGTTCGACCTTGAACACATTTTTTCTTTGAGCTTGCAGCCCGCCGAGGTGGCTGGAAGTTGGAATAACGCCACAATCCGAGATGCGGGATAACTTGCACACTTTGGGCCGCAAACTTACTGCACCCCCCCAGGTTATACTCCGTGCCCCAAACTACCCACAACCACGCTTGAAGCGCTGTAAGGCTTTGTGGCGAGCCCACGCTCCTTTTGTGGTTCCCGTGGTTGGCATTCCTGTATTTCTGTTCGCGCGGCGCCTTCACGCGAATATGTAACCTGGAACATGTATGTAGCAGAGCAAAAGAATGTAGCGCGTGTGTCACCGATTTACTCCATAAAAGACCTACCATCTACGGCAATACAACCATCTACCTATTCATCATGTGTCGCTCGGAGAATTGTGGGCGGGGAGGAGCCCGGGAATCCGACTCCCTCAAGTCGGAAGAGCGCCTTCATGGAGTTTGGGGCTTTGCAAGGCCCTACAAAGCTCTGCTATCGGCGGAGTTTCGTAGTTGACAAGCTCTCTAGACAGGCAAGCGAGTGCCGTGGCACTCGAGGGTATTATTTCGGGGGCGAAGGAGTTCGTGAAGTCGTGGCGCAAGGGACATCAAGAAGCTGGTAGACTACGGGCGGTACACGCGGCCTCGTTGTACTGTACTTCCATTTGAAAATGTACTCGGACGGAATGATCTGAGCGTCGCGCGGGGGATCGACCCCCTGAAGAACGTCTTGGTCTAACAGCCAGCTATTTTCTTCTTCCATGCTTTTTATCCATCCGACGCCATCTGGTCCTGCTGCGCGGTAGTTCGGTGGATCGGCGGGCATGTATCATAATTGATCAGGTACCCCTTAGACCAAGGTTCCCAATATTTGGAGCTACTGGCGAAGTTTAAGCGACAAGCCGTGAACGGAGTCGAGCAATGGGAGACAGAGGAAGAATATGAAAGGCGTAGCCTAAGGAGCCAATCAGCCGCTCTTTTGTATGTGTTGGTTACTTTACTCCATCATTGAGCGCTGGCTGTCTGTGAGCAACAAGTTAGACCTGATGGCTGGTCTCGGGTTACCCTTATTTCGTGTTTTTCCCGCGTTTTCCGTATTGCCTCAGCAGGTGCTATGCAATCCACCGGCAGGGTAGCACCCCGGGGTCCATGCGTGTTAGCCTGCTGACGCCCTCACACTACTGAGCGTAGGGGGGCGGGGTTCATTGGTCGCCAACCATCCCAAGGAAGACATAGCGGAGTGTATGCTCGCATGGGGATACTGCTGTGTAGGACAGAAATGACCCCCTTGCTTATTGCTGTAGGTCACATACAACGCCTCGGCATAGCTCAAAGACTGCAGTAGTAGAGCCCCCGACGCTGAGTCGAACACCGGTACGACTCGTCAACGGACACAATAGTGACTTCGCGAAGAGGCCCAAAGACAATTCTCACACACAAATGTCACAACAGCAAGCAGTGATTTACGATAGATTTGGCTGCAACCGATGGTGTTTTTCAAAAATTCGATGAGCAATCGAGTGCAGATTAGATTTGGGTAGTCCTCGGAAATGAGTGTGTTTTCGATGCACGACCTATCCGACACTACTATTCTACTCTCTGAGGGAAGTACATGGCACATCCCGTAGTGTACTGTGTACTCAGTTCTACATTTTTACTCTTAGTTGTGTACTTGCGGCATGACCATATAGTTTTCGCACATCGGCGTCTAGAAGGAGTGTTGCGCACATGCATGCATGTGGTGTTCGTGGGTTGCGGAGCAGTGCCGGTCAATGTGTCCGGGAGTCGATGCCTTGAACTCGTTTGAAATATGAATTCCAAAAATAGTAGTGACGTGGATAGTTTCAGTTACAGTAAAAACACATCTTCTACCCCAAGGTGGTTCTCCGTCTCATTATGTACTGTAGCGGCCCTTCTTGCCTGACTGCAGCAGATCGGACGGAACTGGGTGTGCCATTCGAAACACTACTGCTGTACACACGTATCCGCCATCTAGTCTGTAGGAATATTCATGTCGGGCGCGGTTTGTCTCTCTGTTCTCTCTCTGCTCTCTCTCTCTCTCTCTCTCTCTCTCTCTCTCTCTCTCTCTCTCTCTCTCTCTCTCTCTCTCTCTCTCTCTCTCTCTCTCTCTCTCTCTCTCTCTACCCTGTGCGTTGATTGGACAAGAAGAAGATTGAGGAAAACCATCTTGAGGGGATGGATTGATGGATACTCCCAGCATGTAGCGTTTCCTGGAACTCCTCGGCGGCCACCACGCGCCACAGCTCATTATTTTTTCTCTGATCCATTCGATCGAGAGGACATCGGGAACCGCTGCTGCTAGCGGGCTTTGAGCTAGCAGGTAGTATTGGAGCGACGGTTCCAGTGCTGCGGCGAGGGAACTGCCACCAGACGACGCTGTGGGCCTCGATCCTGAGTGCAGTTGGATCGCGGATCCCCAAGAACACCGGCTTGTTGTGTGCGCACCGAACAGGCGACCAAATACATACTTCAGATTATATCAGAGGTGAGACCGAGCATGAGAGACAGGAGGGAAGCAGCAGCAGCAGTACTTCAGATTATATCAGAGGTGAGACCGAGCATGAGAGACAGGAGGGAAGCAGCAGCAGCAGTACTCGCCCCGAGAGCAAAAGCCGCGCAAGGTGCGGGGCCTACCCGCGGTCGGTGCTGATTGGTCCAAGGAGGGTGTGCGCGAGCTTGCAAGGATGTCATGTCATGTTGCGGATATTGACAACATCTAGACCCTGCTGCTGCTGTCCGTAGTCGTTTTTTGCTCCTTGTGTGGCAGCTAGCAACTGGATCGGCATCGGCAACCAAACCCTGCTCTTCAACGTGGAGGCTTTGCAGCACCTCGCAATAATAGTCTATGCCCCCGCGCAATAGAACGAGAGTAGGATACAAGATAGTTCCCTGGCCAACCATGCAGACAAGACAGCTCATGCCCCCCACTCGAACGGGCATCCCACCTTCCCACATCCGTTTTCACGCGGAGGAACAGACGAAAAAAGAAAGTCCGAAACAAAAATCTTCGGAGAAGACAGCAGTGGAACAACAAAAGTTGGGACCAGCAACGACGAGGGATCCACGCGTCCCCAATCCCCCCCTCCCCTCGGGTAGCATTCGCCTTGCGCACAGCAGCCCCGCTGTAGAATGGGTCTTCGCCTGCGGGCACAGACGACCCGGCTTTGTTTTCCGAGTCAGAAGGGTCAAATCGACCCGTTGATTTTACAACCCGTTGACACAAGGCGTTGCTTGCCGTCGGTCATCATCATGTACTCGCAGCGGCGGCGCCCAGCAGCGAGAAGCCATGCGGGCACTGTACGCGGCCCTTCTCCTCCTCCTCCTCGTGACCGGGGCATGCGGGAAGAAGGCGAGCACACCCCAGCAGGAAGCGTGTTGCGCGGCGCTCTTGTTGGAGGGTCCCGTAGGGTCCAAGGGTCACGACGGGAAGTACCAGCTACCCGTTGCGTGGTGAGTGTTGAGCTTGTTGCAAGTCATTCATTCGTGAAATGAACGGACTGGTCAACCAATTGTTTTTTTCGTGCGCATTGCAAGCGTTCCTTCGTTGATAGAACAGAGCAGGACCATAAACTTACACAGCATCAGCAGCAGCAGCAGTACAAACTTCCATCGGAGTGGGATTGTCAGCACCAACATCGTTCGTTACGAAGTGCCTTCTCCTTGTTGTGTCCTGCGGGTGTCCCGCCCATGTGTTACCTTTACAGCCGTGACCTGGTCGGCTGCCCGAGCCTTGGGTTCAATCCCCAAGCACACATCGACATCGACCCGGCGAGCGAGGCCCTCCGCCAGCAGTCCGCCCTGCGCGAGGACTCCTCGTGTCCGCGCGCCGAGTGGGAGGGCAGGTGCCCGCCCTCCTCCACCATGCTCCTGGCGAGCAGGATGGGGGGATCCTGCATCGCTGCGGGATGTGTCCACCGCGAGACCCAGTCGATGGTGAGACCGGCGTCTCAACGTACCTACCGTATACGACACGTACAAGTGAAGTTTTTGTGCATGCATGGTCCAAAGAGCAGGTGCGATCGATTATTTACCTCGTTGTTACAGGTGTGTGAATTATTTCTTCGTTCCTGACGTTTTGTTCGCAGCAGCAGCCAGTTCATGCCGTGTACCATACATAGACTACAGCGGCATGTATGTAGACCCCTAAGACCCCTAAGCAAACAGCAGCCTCATTGGCCACCACGGCCCGCTGGGTCTCTCTCTATTTTCTCTGTTGGCTGTTTGTTGTGTTTGAAGGAAGAATGGTCGTTAACAAATAATGTGAAGGACTGGCTTGTAAAACACATGGCCCAGACCAAGGCGGGTACATCCTAATCGTCCGTCCGTCCGTCCGTTCAGCAGCGTACCGCTGTGTGTGAATACCACAACAGCAGCGTACCGCGTGACGTTGTGTTTGAATATTTCCCACATCTTCCTTTCTGCTGCTGCTGCTGCTGCTGCTGCTGCTCGTTGCTGTGGGATGCTCGTTGAAATTCAGGTGGGGGGCGATGATGAGCTTTTGAGGGTGATCACCTCAGAGGTGACTGAGAGACTGCAGGCTGAGAAGCCTTACCTTACTCGGTCGTTCTACGCCCACGTGCGGGGACTTCGGCGTTTCTTCGCCAAGGTGAGCGGAAAAACCATAGATGGAGAGGACGAAAAAATTGAAAAAGTTCTTCATTTTTTGTCATGATGTGCGCGGAGGAAATGAATCGGAGACAACGACCGTGTTTTTGAAATCCACTGACTGCTGTATATGTAGCATATGCGTGCCGCGTTGTCAGCTATCCCGACTGTAGCAAGATCACCATCTCTTGGGGGCAGTCTTGTGTGTTTATCGTCACTTCCTTCTTTTCTCGCACCCTTGGCCTGATGTCATACGTATGATGTGCATCCGTAGAGTAACCTTCCTTGTGTTCTGGCTACCGAATGTATTCGGAGAGTTTCTGCTGCTGCTGTGGTGAGCTGGCCCATCGGATAGATTGGATTTTTTTCTTGAGCGGAAAAATATCACGAGTGTGGGTCACTTTTTATTTTTTGTTGGTACATTGCTCAACGAAACCTATACCGGTGCTT